CTTGACACCTTCCATCCTTTGTCTGTTTACCGTGATGTTACCTGCAGTTTGGACTTTGGTCTTCTTTACATTAAGTTGAAATCCTTGGCTGCAATCCTTGATCCTTGCTCTTCATCAGCAAGTGCTCAAGTCCTCCTCACTGTTAGTGAGCGAGGAACTGGTACAGAGGTTGTTTAAAATGCAGAGCTCATGGACTTACTCCCACAAGGGACTGAACTCATCACGCTAGGACGCTGCCATTGAGTCAATTCCAACTCACAGCGACCCTATAGGACAGGAAGAACTGGCCCTGTGGATTTCTGAGACTGTAAGTCTTTACTAAAGGGAGTAGAAAGCTCATTTGCTTCCTACAGAGCAGCTGGTGGTTTTGAACTAATGACCTTGCAGTTAGCAGCCTGATTTGTAGCCCACTACACCACCAGAGCTCCTTTGGTAGACGGTAAGAGAAAAAGAGGAAGAATTCAATGAGATGGATTGACAGAGCAGCTGTAGCAATAGGCTCTCAAGCATAGCAAAGATAGTGAGGGCGGGACAGGACTGGGCAGTGTTTTGCTTTGTAGTCCAAAGGGTCCATGAGAGTTGGAAGGGATTTGAGGGTACCTAACAATAAACAAAACAAGCCACCCTCAAAAACCCCACTGCCATCATGTTGACTCTGATGCAGTGACGCTGTAGGCCAGAGCAGAACTGCTCCCTAAACTTCTGAGGTTTTAAATTTTTACAGAGCAGAAAACCTCTTATTTCTCTGCTGATATTCAAACCGATGGCCTTGTGGTTGGCAATGCATAACCAATTATGCACCCGGGCTCCTTAAAGCAACAAAACTCCAAAAATTTGACTGTCTTGAGTAAAACTGTCATCAAAAGAGGTCACAGGCAACTCCCAAATTTACTTGGCAGGAAAAGTTTATTGGTACAAATACATGTGCTTTTGAGAATACATCGTCTTGTCTTGTCATTCTAAAGATAAGGAAGAAAATGGAAGAATGTTTACAAATGTTATTAGGAAGGCACCGGACAAGCAAAAAGCAAAACTCCGTCAAAAGCAAGGAACACTGGCCAGGTTAAGACAAAGGCCCCATAGTAGTGCAAGATCTACCTATTCTGTATCTTGTCTTCATGAAATTGAGCCTCTGGTCGGTCGGTTTCCTGTGAGTTTTTCTATTTAAATGGCGATTTTCAAGGCTGGGATTCCTGCAAGGTCTGTTTTTCATGTCCATGGCGAAATAATGCACTTACTCACTAAATGTATAGAAAATTGTACTTGTTACGGTGTTTGCTTTATGAATTGGGTCTTCTCACCTAGGTTGCAATATCTACCACAGGGCCCTCATTCACTTTGTTTTGTAATTCTACCACTTGCTGGTATCAATCCACTGTTTTTCAGAGAACATCAAAACACTTTCTCCCTACAGGCTTGTTTGACAAAAAACACTGCAGGACTCTAAAATGAACTACAAAGCATGTCTCTTGGGCAACAACAATGAATGTTTCTTGAGCACCTACCAAGTGCCAGGGACTGTGCTAAGCACCTTTCATACATTCTCATATTCAATCCTCTTCCCAGCCCTGTGAGGTATACATAATGATAGCTGTTATTGTTATCAAGTACTCTCCACTGGATTGTGACTCACAGCAACCCCAGTGACAGAGTCAAACTGTCCCCTAGGGTCTGTGTGGCTGTGGTGGGCATGAACGTTCAGCTTTTTACTGAGCAGTTGTGCGAGTCGGCCTCCTTAGGTGTAATGATTGCGGTTGTATGCCACTGAACCCACCCTGACACCTAGCGAACCATGATGACAGGAGTGGGGCAGCTGGGTGCTGGGCCTGCCCGATGCTTCCCAGATGGTGCCCCAGGGTTTCTAGGGGATGATTAGGCCAAGCTCACTGCCATCGGGTGGACTCCTACTGGACAAAACAGAACTTCCCCGTTGGGTTCCTGAAGCCTGTAAATCCTTACAGGGTTGCACAGCCTCATCCGTTTCCTGGGGAGCAGTGGGTGATTCCCAAATGATGACCTTGTGGTTAGCAGACTAACACATAACCCACTATAGCACTAGTGCTTCTTGGTATGACGACATCCCCTCCCGGCCCCGACCTTGAAATGATGTAGTGAAGCAGCTTGCTCTGCAGCAAAGAGCTCCTTGGCTTGGAAAAGCTCAAGCTCCGGAGAAGAGCCGACACAGTCACTGCCTTCAGTTGTCTGCGGGCATCCTTTGCGCAAGAGGAGCTTGCACTAACAAGGAGAGACTCCATCTGGGGGTCTGTCAACTCAGAGTCCACGCTGCCCCTCCCCGGACTCACCCCCTCTTTACTGTCTCCTTCTGCCTTGGTTTTTAGAGTCAACACACATCGAATGGCCTGCACTGTGGTGGCCCCTAGCCACCTGTAGCTATTTAAACATATTAAAATAAAGTTTAAAAAATGCATGAGGCTTCCTCACCCCCCACTATCAGGACCCCAGTACTGACTTTCACTGCGGGCTAGACAGGAGCATGTGCACGGGTTCTGATAAGACGTAAGAGCTCACGACATGGAATCCAGGAACAGGAATGGGAGTAGTGATACCAGGAGGGGAGGGGGGACAGCGATCGGTGTACGATATGAAAATATCTTGTCGAACCAGTGGTGACAGTGGCGATACCAGGAGGGTGGAGGGAAGGTGGGGGTAGAAAGGGGGAACTGATTACAAGGATCTACATATAACTCCCTCCCTGGGGGATGGACAACAGAAAAGTGGGTGAAGGGAGAATCGGACAGTGTAAGATACGACAAAATAATAATTTATAAATTTTCAAGGGTTCATGGGGGGGGGGGATGAGGAGCTGATACCAAGGGCTCAAGTAGAAAGCAAATGTTTTGAGAATGATGAAGGCAACAAATGTACAATGTGCTTGACACAATGGATGGATTGTGATGAGTTGTACGAGCCCCCAATAAAATGATTAAAAAAAATACCCTGTCGAAATGATCCACACATAACCGCAACCCCCCCACCCCCCACCAGTGAGGACAAACAACAGAAACCGTGGGGGGAGACAGCGGTGGGTGTAAGATATGAAAATAATAATTTATAATTTATCAAGGGGCCACAAGGGTGGGGGGGAAAGGAAGGCGGGAAAAGAGGAGCTGAAACCAAGAGCTCAACAGAAAATAAGTGTCTAGAAAATAATGATTGCAACATATGTGCCAATGTGCTTGATACAATTAATGTATGGATTGTTGTAAGAGCCCTCAATAAAATGTTTAAAAAGAAACAGTCCCTAAGAACCCCCATATGCTAGCATCCTGTTGTCTAGGGCAAGAGAGGTTGAAGCAGGGGCTACAAGGGGGAGACACCCAAGTCCTAGCACCTGAGGCAGAGGGACAAGTCCCTTTCCAGGAGACCAAAAGTCCAGGGCCACCGTATTCCTTATTCCCGGCTCACTGGAAATCAGAGCTGGCGGATAGACGAGGACTATTAGGTAGGTTTAAAGCAAGTGGCTACGTGGGCCGCAGAGCACAAGCCTAAAAGGCAGGTCCCCGAAACTCATGGAAGCTCTGTGGGCAAGCCATGGTGTTTTCCAGGGTCTATGCATGGGAAGGTTGGACACCGAATAGGGAAGCTGGAAGCAGAACCGATGCATTTGCACCGTGGCGCTGGAGAAGAAGACTCAAAGTTCCACGGACTGCTGAAAGGGCAAACCCATCTCTGTCCTGGAAGCCGTGCGGCCAGAAGGCTCCTTGTAGAGGCTCCTTACAAGATAACCTGCACTTGGACACGGTATCAGGAAAGATCAGGCCCTGGCGAGGGGTGTCATGCTTGGTAGAAGAGGAGGGCAGGGAAGAAGTGGAAGGCCGTCGAGGAGACGGATGGACCCGGGGGCTGCGACCATGGGCTCAAACACCGGAACGATGGTGAAGACGGCCCTGGCTGCGCAGAGGGCTGCTGAGAGTCCGCACCTACCCCCACCCCCACC